CCTTTTAATACGTACGAGACACCCCATATGTCAATATATATATTATAGATTTAAATAAGCTATATCGATATACCACATTTAATATTCTATATTTGTTAACTAACGCTAATAAAACTGCGCTTTTTATAAATTAACCAATCAGTTTTAAAATTAGATGAAAAAACTTTTATGTATACCTTCAAATATAAGAAACTCTAGATAAAGTTTTCAATATAAGAAAATTAAGAAATAATTTGGCTAAATTCGACATTTTTTATATCAAGGTTAGTCGTAATTAATAAGATTGTTTTAAAAGTTATACTATATTTATACAAGACATTCAAATTATTTGCCTCCTTTTTTTTTTTTTTTTGCGGTTTCGTTTTATTTTAAGACGTATTGGTATCGGTATTATACCTAATCTTGAAATTTGATTGAACATACAACGGTTCCTGTTTGCCAAGTTAGTTAATTATAACCTAAATCTGAATAATTGATAAAAAGAATTTTTTTCACACCATGACATTATTACCAAACCAATTGTCGCCTAAACAAATAGAAACTTTATATATGCACGGAGCACATACGCATATAAAAAGATCTATTTATGATCACAATGGAGGAGTAACAAAATTGTCCGAGATATGCATATGAGAACATCCTAGATTATCTAGTGCGATTTTCGTTTTCCTGTTGATCTGCTGAGTGGTAAAATTCAGGAAAAAAAAAATGCATACTATTATTAAAAGGTTGCAAATCTTGAGAATCCTGAGAATCCTGAGAAAAAAGTAAAAAAAAAAGAGTTCATATTGACGTAAAGCAGCAGTTAAGAATTATATAATAGTCCAATGATTCGTATGATTTTTTTTTAAATATAAATAACAGCCGGAATGTTTTTTTATTTTTATTTGACAAGGCAAGTAGGCATATGGTTGTAACATTAGTATAAGTTATATAAAAATGGAATTGTAAAATGGAATTATAAAGAGGCTTTGCATAATAAACAAACTCAATGTGCAGCATATACATAGGTAGTAGGTAGTGGGCAGTACTTACGCACATATGTACGTATGTACGTATGTTATACGTAATTTGGCATATAGGCCAAGGCTTGGTCCTTGTTGCGTAACACCTATTTGACCAATCAACGAATGCACGATAGACGCGTTATTTGATAATCTGATGATTGCTGAGCAATTGATGACTCAATAAATAAGTGACCGGTGAAAAGTAGACGCGTTATTCACTTGTGGCTACACTTATAAGTATATAATCGATACTTGTAAATATTTTACATGAAAACTTTACAATCGAAGCTTTACTACTTCATTGTATAATAAAGTAAAATACCTTGGACCAAGCAAAATCACCGGCTGTGAATACCAAATATTAATCAGCAATTTATACAAAAAATATTGCGTCACAAATATAAATGCCTAATGACGATGACAAATCATTACTAGACGGCGAGTTATGGTCCTGTAGAATGTATGGCGTATTATTTTGTATTTATTTGATTTGATTATCTAAGGGAAGACTTGCAATTAGAATTCATCATTCTCTATCAAAAAAAGGCGCATTGTTTCATGAAACACGGCCACAAAATGTCTCAGTTCCAGATCCGAATGTTGGAGATTTTTATCAATGTCATTTTTAAATACTATCTTTGAAATTTTCAGATTTAATTCGGAAAATTGGCGTAACAAAAGCTTGAATGAAACAAGGATCTTAAAACATTAAACCAAAAAAAGGTTATATCAGGAATGGTATTAAAATAAGTAAATTTGAATTGAGAATTGAGCGTATTGAACTGCACACGCCCTATGCTCTCCACAAGCAATGCCGTCCTAATCACGTTATGTCCTGTTCAAGTCGGAAACGATACGCGTAATTCCTGTTTTCTAGAAAATTATGCATAAAAAAGGGTCGAAGGATGTCCCAGTTTTTAATCAAAAGATTTTCCCAACATATATGCAGTGTCCAACTTCTAGGACAATCCGATTCTGTCGGATCCTTATCGTCATTTCCTTTATTTACCAAGTTCCGTCGTTATCTCAGCAAGTTAAAACTTTCTTGGAATACGAATTAATTATACCCGTTTACCACCTGGTATCTTAACAATAAATTAAAAAACAAGCCACGTTATTACACAGCAATTGAAAGTACTTTGATCGAGGGACTGCCACTGAAATAAGAATCGTCACAATAAAGAACCTTCTTTCATGGCTCTGGTGAACTTTCGGCATTGCCATTCGTACCTACAATAATGTTATGCACAGTTACAAAAAAAGAACGAATGGTGTGGCTGTTAAATCTACGAATCTTGTACAAATTCTCCCACGCGAGACTTTTCCGAGATCAAGATTCACACAGGATTCACACATAAATAAAGATCGTCGATGTCACGACGCTACTGCAAGTCTAGGGCAAAGCCACGTGTTGACTACTCAATAATCACGCCTTATCAGTAAGGTTTTATCTCCGAAATTCCTTGTTGGACGTTTTTGGTTACCTCAAAACTTTTTTTCATCTCGTTTTTATTGTTATTTTATTATAATTTTACTGCGTTTATATCACACCTTTTACTATTTATTCCTTTTATTACTTTTATTTATTACTTTTATTACATGCTATTTTGATCCCTGATTTCAACCATTGCCTTACGTTCTTCAGAATCAGCTTGCGTACGAATTTCAACATCATCCATAATCAAACGGACCAATTCACATTTTTGTTTTAACCAATCAAATCGACTTTCAACAGGAATTGACTCATATTCTTTGACATATGCATCCACCATAGACGACCAATAAAATTTAACACCTTTTTCTTGATGAAATGGTAATGCGCAAATCAAATCAGAAGGAATATTAGAAGCAATGGAATCGCCTCTAAATAATTAACCGACAATCGGATAAATGAACATAAAATATCAAATGGTTGAAAATTAAAAAGTATGAAAATTAACATACCTCGTTGTCTTTGATTTAAAACAAGGGCCACAACAACGAACCCGAAATACCCAGTATATCTTTCTGATCCGTGACTTATTACAAAATTGACAACCACGATTGTTCAAAAGTTCATGATATTGTTCTTGAGTTATTCCATCAGGGGGTGGCAAATCCGAACGTTTATACATAGCAATCTCTGGTATTTGCTGCGGCTCACTAGAATCATCACATGATCTCGCGTTTGACGAGGCGGCAGATATTGAATCAATAGAAGGTGGAGATGATATCGTAATGGTAGGCGAAATTATTGAAGAA